GGCCGAACGCCTTACGAAGGGGTCCCGTACGTTCGGGCGTTCGGGTTCGGGCGTTCGGCCCATTCCGAACGCCGGCAACCCTGGAGCCAGGTATATTTCCTGTAGTCTTTTTCTAGCTGCGCTTCCATTCCTGCGCCAACCAGTGTCTGGAAACCGGGTCGAGCCCTGCCACCAGCTCTATGTACTAAGTCATCTATCCAACAAAGATCCACATAGAGCCACAGGTTAGGTCGTTCCTTGGGACAACTCCTTAATTTTTGATTAACATACAATTTAGAAAGTGGGTGGATAACTCGCAGAACCCCAAGAACAAATTCAATAATCATTTTTTATTTTTTATTTCAATCATTATTTAACTATTATTATACTTTATTCTTTCCAACCCAGTCAAAATGTCAACTTCTCCTATCGAGGCTTCTAATCAGGCTCAAGGCCTCTGTATGAGTGTTTGTGTGTGTGTGTGTGTGTGTGTGTGTGTGTGTGTCTGTGTGTGTGTGTGTGTGTGCGTGTGTGTGTGGCCCACCCCTAACCCGCTGGGGGAATCCTGTCCTGGAGGGTCAGAGGAGAACCCTGACCTACCAGGTCAGGATCCTCCCAACTTCCCCCTCACTAGGTCCTTCCAGTGGATTGGTCTTAATGAGGGGACACTGATACAGGGACATCAACACTCATCCACAAGCGTATTAAGCCGGCTCTCTCAGCTAGGAGTCAACAACATACCTTGAGCAGTCTCTTCGTATCCAGATGACAGCAATGGAAGGTCTGGAAAGCATTTGGTTGGTCAAGGACCATGAACGCCCTTCTGATGCACTTATTTTTCAGGAACCCATTCTTAATGAATACTTCGATCAGATTCTTAATATCTTTTGCTCCATGTATTATGGAATTGGTCAGTAGCATAATTAGCGCACTCTGGGGGATAATCACATTGATTGATTGCTTGATTGACCTGTTATACTCAAATTAAATAAACCTGACAGGTTTGAAGGTCAGGGCTCGAGTCTTGTCATGTTTTGCTGTCAATAAACGTTCATATGACCCAGGGATGACCTGGATGTTCAGATGGAGGAATTGCGCAGACCTGCCATAAATCATCAGCTCAGGACCCAGTGTGAAATCCTGAGTCTGATTCTTGATTTCGATAATGTGCAAAGGGTATATCCAGAACGGGTTATCACTCATTCTGGACTGCCCAGGATCAAGAAATCTCATAATCGTTGGGTTGTTAATCACATGAAGGTCATCAATATATCTAAAGGTCATTCCGAATAATGTTGCGAATTCCAGAGCCTTGATCCCAATCAACCTAGTGATAAAACAATACTCATATTTAAAGAAGTAGATATTACACCATAACGGGGAGCAGGGAAGCCCCATGGGAATACCTTTTACCTGTCTCCAAATCAAATTCTCAAACACAGTATAGCATCTTGCCAAAATACATTCGCACAAACCAATGATGTGATCAGCTCCAATGGAAAAGGAGTTCGTCGTAGGGGGGGTAAAGGACTTGGTCATGCAGCAATGAATTTTACCATTTTTCCGATATACACATCTTACGCTAGTATGCCCTGCTGACAATCTCATCTGTCTGAAGGCTATATTTACAAAGAATTTGATCGTACTGATCAGTCCATGCTCTGTATCGTCTATGGGAATATTCTCAAAACATTTCGAAATGTCAGCCGAAAACACAGAGTATACCTCAGAGGGGAGATTATAGCAGTAGCCTTGGACGCAATCAATGATCCACAAGTAAGCCGTATCTACTCCATAGAACGCCTTTGTTGACCTCGCCATGTTGCGGCAGTGTTCCATAACTGCTTCCTTGATGGTGGAAAGAATCGCATCTACTAGGAGCGCAAGGAAAGTGAGAAATGAATCAGACGCGTTTGTCAACCATCTAAAAGCTATCTTACGCTGTTTAAAGATGGCCACGATGTAAGGTAAGTTCTCATATTCAATCCTTACTGAAGGGAACCTATTTTTCAGAGACATGGTTGCTTCATCCAAGACCTGCCGTATCGAAACATTAGGGAACTCAAAGTCGGGGCTCATCAGCCTCTCAAGGGCTAAGGCGCGAATGAGGTGCTTGCGTACAAAAAACGGGGTATTGGTCGCTTTATCAGTGCCGGCAACATACAGATGCTCTAATAGAAACCTAAGCTCGCTCTTAACCTGGAATGAGAATAGTTTCAGCTCGCAAAATGATTGCCACCGTATCATCCCATGCTTTCATAAGCACTTCTATTGCTTGTTCCTTCGTGGGAATCCTCAATGGGATGTGGTTCAAACCCATTTTTAGCAACTCAGTAAGCTTTGGACTACCAGCAATTGATGGGTCCAACGTTAGCACATGCATAGACGGGGTTTGGCAGGGTTGCGTCATGGAGAGAGTCTCCTGATTAAGGAATGGCTGGAAACGCTCGCCATTGTTGCATGGACAAAGTATTTGTCGGTCATCGAATCATACCACTCCTCAAGGTTGAAAAACTTGAATACCAAGGCCGGTTTGTATACATACCGACTGATCGGATCATCATAGGTCCAACCAAAAATAATAGAAAGGAACAGAGTTAGCACATTGACACCGACAAATCGTGAGAGAACAGACTCAAAGACCCTTTTGACATTCAACCCTTCCAGTAGTCTGCTAACATAGTGGATATACACGAAGTTGTGAGTCGATCCCTCCTTATCCAGTATTTTCTTCCACCTCTTCCTCCCCGAGGGACCATCGACCAGGGACCCCTTGCATACCTGCAAACAATCCCAACATATCAGCAACTTGAGCCACATAAACTTCAGTTATTGAATATCGTCTTGTTGACATTCCGCTGGAGCCCATCATTCCCTCCAAGGAGCGCAGTAGGCAAGCCGACCCTCCTCCCTTCGACAGAGGTTATCGTGGATTCGGGTGGGGTAGCTACATCAGGGACAACAATATGATTTGGGGGAGTAGAATTAGCGAATCGATCCATAGTCCCCTGGCCATCACATCTCGTATGCTTACTTCTCAAGGAGGATGCCGCCTCAGTCGTCCTAGACCTCTTCCTAACGTACTTGCCCATCAAGAGCAGCTTTGCGCATTCCTTGAATGCCTTTCGGTCAGCACCATTCACCCCGACCAACACAGAATCAATAGTCATAGAGGGGTTCGCAATGATCTTTTTGGCGAGGAGCATCATTACTTCTCTCACACACCTGAATGATAGGGATGTGATCATCAACGGCTTCCAACACGTCGACAGGCACTTGATCAATGAGGATGCCTTTGCCCTTGGACTTGGTGCATCCGGATACATAATGTCCAAATTGCACAGAAGGTACCAAATCAGATGATCGAACCATGCAGGGCCAGTCCTGCAATCTGCCTTCCCTTCAGGAGTACATCTTCACTTCAGGTACGGTCTCCCCACATTCCAAACCCTCTTCAATTCGGCCGACGCCGAGGGATTCTGAGGGATTTTGTTACCCTTTATCAAAACATTGGGGCGAGGGAGGGATCACTTACTAACGTCCATCGAGCTCATGGGAGGGAGAAAAATCCCCTCACCATTGAAGGGGAACCTGACATCAGGCGGTGTCGTGTTCAACTCTAATGCTCTGTCATACGCGGCCTTCATCTCATCCTGTGTAAGGGATGCTAGCAACCTGTACCCTCTCTGATCCAACGGAACAAGATGATTAAAGGTCTCGAGGGACCAAATATTGTCGGAGAAAGTTGTGGACATCTTTTCTACCCATCTGGGTGACGCAAGCGGGAGGAATGCATTCCTCCGCATATCCAAGAAGGTTTTCTTCTTGGTTGAGACAAGACAGACTTTGGTTTTCGCCACCTCAACATCCTTCATCCTCATATACTCCTTCTCCTCTTTTGTCATCTCATCTTCATCATCCTCCATCGCCACCTCATCCGTTATCATTGTCTTGCAAACATCTTTCTCCCTATGGAATTGTGAATCAGCACCCCAAAGTTTGACAAATTTAACCTCAGCCTCAATCGTGTTGGCATTTATCGTCCTATCCTCAATACTTACAGATTCCCTTACAGTAGACGAAGCCCTCGCCATCCTGTTCACCTTATCCACGAACTCATTCCTCCTATGTCGGTACACATATATCAACTCAGCCTAGTCATTAAATCATAAATACTCAATCAAGGGGAGGGAGTGAATTTCGGGCGAAATCGACCTCTCCCTAACCTCAGCAATCACCTGCTTTTGAGCATACGCAATCAGGGTTTGGGTGGGACGTGAAGGAGGACGAAAACGGGCAAGCCAGGCTTTATCTCCACAAAAGGAGATCCGCAATCCACAGCACTTGAGGGGCAACATAGTCCTGGACACATTGAATACGCGAACACACGGATCTCAGCATGAGTATCCTTGAGGAGACAAGAATAAAAGCATAGGAACAGGATGCATATTCCAGCAAAGTAAAGTAAATCAGAAATTCATAGAACAACTGAAGCATCTAGTATTCCAATTGTGCGTCTTGAGCAGGAGGCCGTGGGTATCAACCACGAGAAGAAACTTCCACCGAGGGTACTTCCCCCGAATGGACATGTGGGTGTGATGATATGTGTAAACACATATTGTGGACACCTCAGCATATAAATCATACATGCTCCACCCCGCCATCACAGCACAGGATACACCCCAACATGAAACCTGAGATACGTCACCAATTATTCCAAAGATTTCATCCAGTATATTCGCTGGGCTCACGCTTCCACCTATAGGTTCAACGAAGCAAAGGAACCATACACTCACCCTAGCCAATTAGATCAAGGACCTCATTATAGGCAGAGATCGCTAGGCATGCAAATAGAATTTGAGAATACTAATAACAGATCACACTTCGAACGAACACCAAAGTAAGAGGAAGGGATCAAGAAACAGGAATAAAGGGAGAGAGAGGGAGAGAGAAAGCAAGAAGGAACGCAAACAAGAGAAGGAGAGAGAGAGGGAGAGACAGAGAGAG